AAAGAACAAAAACAGTTTTTTTTCTGGTTTTATTAATGTTTTATGGATAGTTATTCCAGACAACAACTAATCCATATACTCAATAAATGCTATACAACGACCAACTGGATCTTCCCCAGGTACGATATTTGAGTTCACGAAGGATGACTGCAAGATGACGGATATGACGCACATTGTATGAACCACGAAGTGCTAGCTGGTACGCTGAAGGAAAACAGCAAAAAAAAACCGCCAAGAACGCCCTGAATGAGACCCCATTGGAACTCTGACGTTGCGCTAGTTTGCGTCATACCATGGGATTTCCGATAAAGCTTTTCAAATGGTAAACAACTTGGGTAAGGCGCTAACGTACTTGAGGGAAGGGACCACTTGGTCACGCCTCTGTATTCCATCCGCAAAAAGGCTCAGGCGCAGAGCGCAAGTCGCCAAGGTATAATCCCGCAAGTAGACAAAGTCTCCACCGGCCTGATTCTTGACTGGAGGAAGGGATAGCACATGCTGACGAGCGTCTTCCTCCCCTTCCCTAACTACGTTAGCGACCTTGGATATGTGTGTACCATAATGAGTACTTACCTCGCAGCGTCTTTCGCATCCACTAGCATGGGCGATGGCTCATAAGGAGGTTGGTGGCAACAGTGACGTAAATTTTTGCGTACCGCAGAGCCAACACAGTAGCTGAATCGCACCGAGTCACGAGACAAACTCGGAAAACGGAGATTGGAACCCACGTACTAGTGCTGGAATCTCCCTACTTCCGAACCCCTCACGTCGTTCCAACGCCCTTTCGCGGAACCAGATTCGCATAACTTACAAATTATGTTTTCCACTGCGGAGGTGAGCACTTCATGCCAAAAACGACGCAAACTCCCTCGTGATCGTGCAAAATCCTTCTAACAAGGGAATGATTTGAACTTCCCATGGAACTTTGAATGGAGACGCTAGGTACATCGATAGAGCCTCGAATGCTGATTACGAATATGCAGATTAAAGTGCTACGGGGACCTCCCAGACGAGATCTGGGTGGTCAAAGTTTGAGTTCTGGCTCGTAAGCGCTGCTGATCGATGCCTTTGGCAGTGCCACCGTGGCTCGTGGTACTTGAGTCTCGCTTTCAAGTCAAACGCATGCGGGTTTGCATCCGGTTGGCGCGAAAATTTTTGCTTCGCTCCGTATAAGAGCTTCAACTCTAGTTTTCGAAATTCTTCGGGAATTTACCAGCCGCAGTCAGGCATTAGTGCATCGAGACATCAAGTTATAGACCGTAAGCTCGGCTAAGTATGGATGTGGTCATATATCTGCCCCTCTCGAACATATTGTTCTGGATTGCCACCAGAACCTACCGGTGCATCCTTTTAAGACTGAGTGATTGATATGTATAACCCATAGGGAACATTGAGACATGTGATTATGACCCATAGGTAAATAGTTAGATACTCGATGTGTGACCTCTCTGCTGTATTGAGAGGCACGCCTAGATTAAGTGAGCATTCTACCATGTCCACCACCGAGACCACCCCGTCTCGGACTACCTAGAGACCACCCCGTCTCAACTACATTGTATTCCATCGCAACTACAACGAGACCACCCCGTCTCGTCAATAAAGGTATATAAACCTTCATACATATTACCCATCCGACAATTCAAAGTTTTAGCGAGAAATTCGTTCATGGGAGATTTCGACCCCCTGAACACGAATATCACATCCTTCGACGAAAAAACGCTCGTCTGGCCAAATTGCGATTCTGGGCAAAACTTTGAATCGGATGGGTAATATGTTCAGAGAGGGCAGATATGACCAAATCCATACTAGATCGAGTATGTCGTATACTTGATGTACTTGATCTACTTGCCCTGCTGGGCCGTAAATTCGGAAGAATTCGAAAATTAGAGTTCAAGCTCTTATAGGGAGCAAAGCAAAAATTGTCGCGCCAACCATGCAAACCCGCATGCGTTCGACTTGAAAGCGAGACCATTACCACGAGGCCACGGTGGCACTGCCGAGGCATCGATCAGCAGCGCTTACGAGCCAGAACTCAAACTTTGACCACCCAGATCTCGTCTGGGAGGTCCCCGTAGCACTTTTAATCTGCATATTCGTAATCAGCATTCGAGGCTCTATCGATGTACCTAGGTCTCCATTCAAAGTTCCATGGGAAGTTCAAACCATTCCCTTGTAAGAACGAAAGGGTGAGATGAGAAAGCTCACATAAACTATTCCAGCCGGGAACCACGATTTCATTTCAAGGACATACATGGAATGTGCTTAAAAGGATTTACGAAGGTGTTTTCTCACATGTTTACATGGTCAGTTACTGAGGTTTCAGTGATCATTTACTGAGAGCTAATAACGTATTCTTTAAGCTTCGTGACGTCAATGATAAGCGTAAATTGTATGCGATGAAGGTGGAGAAACAACATGGTTGCGAAAGGTAGGCGTTAAGCTTCGCACAATAAGCAACTCGGCCAGTGTCGGTCGGAATAGGAGTGGCGTTACTTCCCATGTAGTAGCGAGCGTGACAGAATAGGCGTGGCCACTGAAGTGACGTACGCAGCATTCCCGTCAGGACCCAATCCACTCGAAGTGGTAGTGCTGCTGCTCGTCGACTCTCTTGCGTCTCTGAAGTCGACTAATTCTCTTTTGTGTCTCTCTAGCCGACTAGGTATCGCAAATACCTGTAGTGGGCCACGCTGCGCGGCTTGCGAGTAACGCAGCACCCCTGGTTAAAGTTAGTGCCGATTGCGATGGTGGCGAAATGACGCCGCTGTCGTGCGTGGGGGGAGTCGTCGCGCATCGATTGCGAGACGCTCAATAGGAAACGAATGCGAGAGAGGTTTTGTGACTTGATGTCGCTCATTTTTTTTGTTAGCTGATGCTTTGTTTAGTATTTTTCATAACTAGCAGTGGTACTGGTATGAAATCGGAGTAGTTTCAGACCTGTGTTAAAACTGGACGTTGCGGTGCTGTCCCAAATGCGTAACACTATTGGATTTCCAACGTTAATCGTTGCCGGTAGAACTGAGAACTTAAGTCCGAACTTTCCTCGAAGAAAGTGCTCTTACGCAGCGTTTCAGACTTCGCGATGACGCGCGTCGACGCGCTTCTTGTGCAGGGGCGTCCCAGTGCTAACGCGTACGCAGCCACAGACGGAAATCGATCGGCGTTGGACGCTAGCATTTTGAGAGTGTATAGAATGACAGGAGAGCAGGCACTGTCTTCACACAATCTGGTGCCCTCCATACTCTCTTAAAACATGCGGCCGGCGTTGATCGATTTCCGACCGCGTATATAGGGAATAGAGTGGCCTGCCAATAGTCTAGCGGGTCATCGCCGAAGTCTAAAGATGCCACAATTCCAAGCAATTGATCTTGCCGTATGCTCTTTCGCAACATGATCGAGGACTAAAAACGAACTAGATTTCCTTGACAAAGGGCGCGCCCTGTGATTCTTTCAATATTAAGGCATTTGCTTTCAGTTCTGCGTAATGCGACTTGTTGGACCTGATCTGAGAGCACTCATGTGGGCTATGCCTTCAAGGAGGTGAGTCAATAATACGCCTGAATGGGGTTGCAAGCTCGATCTCCTGGGGACACACCTTTTCAAACCTTGGGTCCTTGCACTGCCAAACTGGTCTTCGCTGCGCTACTTATATCCTGAATTTTACTTCTGCGCATCCGAGCCGCTGCGATGTGGACTAAATAGGCTCTACAAGCTAGTCACGTGTGCAGCATCTGAATCAGGACCCATCCTCTCCAAGAGGCAATACTGCAGTGTGAGCACTAGTGATATTCTCTGCTGTCTTCCGCGCGACGCCGCGTCTCGGAACTCCTCAATCACAGCACGTACCCTGTTCTGCACCTCATCACCATCTCTTCGCCCGTATCACTCTACCCTTTATGCTTATGTGGTGTCTTTCGGTTTATTTAACTATAGACATTCCTCTTCAGATTCACTCAAGCTACGGCCTACCGTATTGCCATCCAAACCCTCGACCGTTTGGAAAAGTTGCACGACGCCGGTTATCTCAATAGGTAGCCTCATCATAGCTTTTGCAGTTGTTGCTAAATGGATGAAAACATTATTTCAGGGACGTCAAATCGCAGAATTTCGCAGTAGGACTTGGAAACGATTCTTCAATCATCTACATGCTAGATTTTGGCTTGACAAGACGATTCAGGTATGCGTCCTGCCTATCCTACTCTACGTTTTCGAGTGTTCTCCTTGTTACTGTTAGTCTGCCTTCGACGCAATCAGTAATGCAGGAGAAATCACCCACAGGGGTCGCATCACGGTTGTGATGAGTAGGGCAAGATCCAAAATGAACCCAACCCTCGGAGGCAAGTGCTATACAGAAAGTCAGCTCTACGACAGTCTTGGATGAAGAGGTAGGCCGTGAGACGAAGTGCGCTAATCTGAGCTTGATTGGAGTGTGTGGAGGCCTGCCTCTAATGGGCGGGGCGCCAACAAATTACAGCTTGCAGGAGATGATGAAAGAAGTGATAATGCTGAACAACTTCCGCTCCGAACCAACTCCATTCGGGACATCAGGCGAATTTGAATGCGGAATCCTCCTCAACAAGCAGTGCGACTACCCTAGATCTGCTTTATACTTACAGTTTCATCACTGAAGCCAGTCGGTGGCGTCAGCGGAGCATGGGTTTTGATGCGGCGCCAGCTTCTTTGCCATCATGCATGGATTACCCGAAACCGCAAAGATCGATGGAAAACAGGCCAACGTCGAGTCAAAACCCAGTTCCCGCTGGCATGCTCCCACCGACTTGAGTGATAGAGAATGTATGTTCGAATGAGTGACAATTTTCCTGCGACACCAGAGACGCAATAACAGAACTCTTACCATATCTTTATCAGAAATGCGGACGGAACGCTACTAAGACGTCGAGCCTGCGGTCCATGTGTTGGGACGTATCCGTTCTCTCCACTGGCATCGGCAACAATGAGAGATCAGGCGCCAAAAGATGACCTGGAAGGCTGGTTCTACATGATCATGGAAATCCTTGTTGGTGAGTCTATCGCACAGAGCTCCTTCTATTTCTTCAGCGTAGTCCCACTCGATGGGGGGTCCGCTCTTCTGATATAATGACGTCAATTCTCCCGATTGAGTGCCTTATCAGGGTGAATGCTGGTTTCAGCCGAGTTGTCCCCCCCCCCTCCCATGCCGGCCTTGCATGGCGACAATAGACAGTATGAACCAGCAATAGATATAAATGTTCTAAAATCTGTTGTCTACGAGAAATCTGGGGCTCCAGTCGACAGGCTAATGCAAGTCAAGAAGGCACCGCACCTCATCGCCACGCGCAACTGAGCGGCAATTTGCGATTGTCTTGACCGTCTAATGGCACTCCGCGCACTGTCTGGTTCTTTACTTTTCTACACTGTTCCAAAACACTAGCGATAGATACCACTCTAGGGCTGCGCTCCTGTTTCAAGCGTAGGGGGAAACTATTGTAACGGTAGCGCGACGGCACCCTTCAGCGCGCGTCTTATTGTTAGGGCGTCATGGCCGAGTCTGAACGCACCATTCGTTGTTCAGTCCTCGCGAACGTGATATCGCGATGCCCTGAACAAATTCTCTCATGAAAAGTGTGAAGGGCATGCTTTTCCTCATCTAAAGTTTCCTTGAAGTTAAAGGCAGTTGGCACGATGATTGGGTGCTCGGCCTAAAATGCTAGTAGGGCGCTATATAGTGGGGAAATGGCGAAAGAACGGAGTGAAACGGTCAAAATCCTGCGAAAAAGAGACTCCGTTCTCACTGTGTTAGTAATCAATTTTGGACGAGTTTCCCGAAGGCATCTTACCAATAACCGCTACCGAAGGTACGGCTGCATACTGCATATGTGTACTCATATATCCATGCAGCATCACGACCGCTTCATACCAATGCCTTCGCTTCATAATTTGCTTAGCAAATGAATCGTCTGGAACAGTCGTCCATTTGTGGGCGGGCGGGCAAGGGGGCGTTTGGGACGTAAAGTTGTGGCTTGATAGCGCCCTTATAAGGGCACCTTCCCTGGAAAAGGCATTATGCAGCGCCTGCTCAGGGTCGCGGAATTCCGTCCTGCCAGGCGTATTAGTCCTGCTCGTCTTGGAGGATTATCGTGCCAACTGCCTTTAAAACTATTCTATGCCTCAAGTCAATACTACATTGTGCGCGTTAAAATGTAGATGTTTAGGCTGTCTTCCATGGTATAATGCGAAAACATCACCAGATCATAGCCTGACTCGAGAATGGAAGCAGTATGCACGTGGTACATTCAAAACAGAGATGCTAAGCACGCTACCACCCGAATTTACTCCGATTTTCAACAAAATTACAGCAACTAGGTCATTACTTACACTTACGCACCTTTTGCTGTCACGCTAGTTGGAAGATCTGGAAATTTTGCAGGTTCGAAGAACGTCCACGCTATCAGTTCGTACAGAAAATGGTAATGGCCAGTGTAGCGCGACAGGGCATCAATTTGAATGTTCCGTATGATTGGCAGGTAAAAGTCTCTTCGGTAAGTTAGAAATGGTACGGTCTTGAAATCGTGTTTATCTCTTTCAGACTGTACCATCACTACTTGCTCTGGTTAAGAAATCTGTCATGTATGATCCGATCCCGCAAAGTGCTATCACTGCTGTGGATTTCGATCGAATGGCAGTCGAAATGCCGACGGCCATAGAAGAACCCTTCAATATCAATGATTCCATTGCTGTGCTGAACTAAAGTCATTAAATCCACATCAGTCCTAATCAATAAATTAAACAGCCGTAACAACTGCGAAATCGCACCGGAAAACGCCGAATTTATGGAACCGAACTGGGAGTAACTTTTTAGAAAGACCGGATGCAGTTTGTGGGATTGGGGGTTCAGAAATTCCTGAAATTCCTGCTAACTGACTGATCAGTGAGAGAAAGTGAAATTAATCGTCGAAAACGCCCTAGGTAAGTCCCCAGCATTGGACGAGCATCTGAAGAAGCGAGACAGTGTTGAGCGGGCGACATGCCAAAGGACAGAGATGACAGATGGGAATAGAGGAGAGACAAACGGACAAACATGGTCCTGTACAGATATTATAGAACAACCCAGAGAACAAAGCGCAGCTAGAAATCCCTGTGCCTTTATATGGAGCACCACCGGCATTTCTCGTCCATAAGTAGACTTCCAAGAAGGAAAGTTAAGAAGCTGCGGAATTTGTTGTTGGTGGCAATCTCCACACTCACCTTCTATGTGTGAGGCGACTGGGCCCGGAGCTGCAGAAGGGGCCTCAAAGGCAGTTGGCACGATAAGTTCCTGGCACCACTTGGCAGGACGGAGTTCCACGCTCCTAACAAGGCGCTGCGTAACCGAGATAACCAACATCCAAAAGAAGGTACCCTTAGCAGGCACGAGTTCCACGCTCCCTAACAAGGCGCTTGGCGTACCCTTTACGGAGGCCCTATCAAGCCACAACCATAACGACCCCAGACACCTTACCGCGTGCCGCCCGCTCAACGCCCACACATTGGACGACTGCAACCTGAATGCTCGTGATTCCTTCAGTTTGCCGAAGAAAAATGATGAAAGCGAAGGGATTATTACGTGAGGCGCCGCGTGCTGTACGGATATTACGAAGTCACATACGTTCGACAGCCGTATCTACCGTAGCGTCAATGGCAAGATGCCTACGGGAAACTCGTCCAAAACTGCTTTTTGAGTCATTTAAAACGAAGGCTTTTCTTCGCAAGTTTCCGACCGTTTCACTTCATTTTTTTCGCCGTTTTCTCACTATATAGCACCCTGCAAGCATTTTAGATCGAGTACCGAACTATCGCGCTAGTGCTATATGCCTTCAAAGGGTGAGCTCTACACGTCGCTGTCTATGGGATGACAGCTCTGCCTTGAGCTATGTGTGTGGTGAAACCGGTGTCGGTATCTGCCACATTATCGGATGCGATTATTTTATGATTCATTTGAGCATCTCTGAAATTTTCCATATAACTGATTTATTCAGTGCATCAAATATTTACAGAAGAGTCAACGAGCAATATCAGCTTCCCTATACAGAGAAAATTAGGAAAAAGAGGAAGAATTTAGTTCTCGACCTGAGATCTGTGTGAAAACGTAAAACATTCTTACAACCCGTTTCATAGTACGACTCGGAGTAGTTAAGACTTCAACACTACAGCAGTGTGCGAGACGCTACATCCACGACTGCGTGCAGGTAACAGCAACAGGACCAAATTGATTTTGTGAGAAAGTAGAGAGTGATTATTTCCCTCGAAGTAGCTCAACAAGGAGGTTCCAGCAACGGCTTGTTCCTGCTCTCCTCCCTTCTTTCACACATTCTCCACCTCTTTTTAGAGAAAGCTTTTTTTCAAAATGCGACCCTCACCTCAAAATTTCCCCCTAACAAGGTTGTAAGGTACGACCCCCGGCCCCTGCTACGTACCCCAAATTTTTCCCAAGTTCTGTTTTCCCGAGCTTCTACCGCCTTCAACCACTTTTCCGCAGTTCTTTCCTGAAATTCCTCCACTGTTTCTCCTGAAGAAACTGTTTTCGGGGCGAGGGGGGAATAAACATAGCGGACTTGGAAACCGCCCTCGGTGGGAATCCCGTAGCAATCGTTGTGTTCGCAACCACCCCCCCCCATTTCGCTCTTGGATATGGCCTGTATGTTAGTGAGTCAGCAAGGAAATTCTCCGATACTATCTGCCAGCCTCTGCATCGCGGATGTAACTTCCCACGCTCTATCATCATATCATCGTTCATCTATGAGCTCCCTACAGACGCTATCGAGAATACGGCAAAGGCTAAGCGGTACATGCTATAGAATATGCAGAATGCCTTACGCAAGACATATAAAACCATCTCCAATATTGAACAAGAAAGATAAGGCAAAATATGCTTAATAATAGAGCTGTATCAGACTCAGAAAGCAGATGGTTTAGAAAAAAACGTGAAACTTCATGGATATGGGTGTCCGTTCTTGAACGAGGCTATTGTGACTTGAATCGGGTCACTCGTGGTGACTTTGCCGGCAAATCGTCTGAAAATACAATTTTCGAGGAGTGCTTGGTTCCAGTTGTCTTCAGTTTCGTCCGCTCTGCGTAGTTGACTATGACCCTCTATTCCTCTCAATGTGTTCTGACTGTACTATCAGTCCCTATATTTCGGTAGCGAGGTTTCTTCCCTCCGCACAGGGCGAACAGACACGACCCTCCCACTGAGGATTATATCTGGAGGCAAAGTGATGGCTAGGTCTACCAGAGAAGAAAGAGAATTTCTGATGGTTTGATCTTCGAAAAGTGGTGGAGTTAATGGCTTTGATTCTTGTGGGAAAGGTAACAATACTTCTTTACCAAGGATAAGAGAGAATTTCTCCAGCTCTGGACTAGCAGCATATCGCACCCCCTACCCTTGTTTCAAATTTCCCAACAAAGCTCACGGCCACACAGGCTCAGATTTGAGCGAAAGATTATCTGAGGGGAGCTCAAATATACTACGGCCGCCCCTGTTGTCATCATACATCTGGAGTAGGAAGGCGATAAATAGACGGTTCACGTGGAGCGCATCTGCATGCTACCTGTGATTCCACGCATGGAGCTTCTTCCGTAGGAGGCTTCCGGCCATTTCTCATCACGAAGCTGAAATTCTCGGCTGATTAGCTTTAAAGGCACAGTTCGCGACCGCAAATTGCGGGAAACGGAACTCAAATAGGCACAAAAAAGTGCTAAGTATCTGATTAGCGGAGAAAAGCAGCAGTAAAAGCAGTCCGAAATGTTATAGAGAAAGATAACATAGTGGCTACTAGCTAGTAGCTAGCAGCCGGTGAGGGTCGGCATGGGCCTAAGGGGTGTCCATGGGCCTAATTAGCCAGCTTCTAGCGGAGTTCTTGCCGTTTTTCACATTTTGAAAGTAGCGCAGCCTCAAAAATCGCCTTCCGGATCGTCCGACACATTTGAGAGGTCATAGCCTTATTTTTTCGCGGAATGTGCCTTTAATTAAACTTTCTTCTCTGGCTCAATGGAATAGTGCTGGCCTGGTTGGCCAATGCTAATAGCAGCAGAGATAATAGATAACCCTTCCTCAGCTATAATAACACGTTATAAAAAGTTGCTTATTATCTTAGCTACCAACACTTGGGAATCACCGCGAGACCACGTTCATTCTTCAATGGATCCAATTACAGAATGACATCCGTTCATTCAGTGATGCTTTAAAATCAAACCAGAAGGAAGCAGTTTTTCTTCTCAATTTTTTTAGTGAGGCCAGAAAATGCACTGGATTGAATGTGAACTGAATGATTGATAAGACGCCAAAGTGATGCGTCTTATCAACTAGCTGTAGACCTTGAAGGCATGGTCCGCGATCAGGTGTAGAAGTTGAAAATATGGCGTCGGGAGGGTAGTGTGGTCCGCGACAAACAACCTTGTACCGGTTTCGCGGCAAATTAAGGGAGGGGCGCTATAGCGCAATATAGGTTCAGTGACGCCTCCTTTTTTCCAGTGACTCCGCCTCCAGACTCCGCCTCAAGGCCCGCCTTTCAGTGAAAAACGAAGCTGCAGGACGAAAAAGCATGAAAATCGTCACTTGTACGGTCGTAGAGTTCTTATCGAGGAATCAGCTGTGCGGACGTGGGGTAGTGTTAGATATGGAGTTAACTGGGTACGTGCAAACTGAATGAAGTTCTTAGAATGGGGTTCTATCTGAGGCAGATGACATGTTTTTTTCTGCTTTTTTTCTTTTCTATAAAGTTACTCAGCACCCTGTCGCCTATATGCATACCCCTAATCCACTATTTGTGATGGCGAATGATCGCGGGTTTTGCCTTCAAGGGAGTGTGAAATGGAGGGTTTCTCGCGCACGTGCGGCAGCTCGTTTACTCCTAGTCCTTCGAGAAGGAGCGTGCACACTGTTTGAAGCCTTCTCA